AATATTTTGTGTACAACTACTTTTGCATAAAAAGCATTCTTGACTAAGAATATATCCCAAGCATTGTCAGAAAAAATATTACCTACACCCAAGGTAGCATAACTTGCTTTAGCATTAGCTAGAGAACACTTTCAGTTTACCTCTTTTGGCTCATATACTAGGGAGCATTGTGCTAGAGAATAGGGAAGGGGTTAGAGTGTCTCTTTTGCGTGCAAATTGCTGCCATTCTATTTTTGAATGTTTCCCAGTCCTTTTCCCCACCTGGATCCCATGAACTTCTATTTAATAGATGTGCAAGAAGTTGTGGTGCTGTGCTATGTGTGTGTTGCATTCGGTTCTTGCAAGGGGTCAGTCAGGAGTAGGGAGCTCACAGTCACAGCACTCTAGTTTAGCATAAACTTTTCTGATGGATTTAGGTGTAATCTGAAGTAAAAAAAAATTTCTCGTAAATTCCTTAATCCCAAAACCACAGGTTATCTCAAAATAATACTCAGTCTTTACCTAAAAAGAGGAAGACAAATTCCCATGATGTGTCATTTTTTCATACAGAAAGCAACAATCTCAGTTCCAGCTTTGAAACAAAGTAGTTCCAATAAAAGGTAGATTGAATCAATCACTTTGCAATATGCATGTTAGGTCCAAGAAAGGATCTTTGCCCAGACAAAAAGCTGTCTGGTTTTAACTCTTTTTTCTCCCCAGAAATTTATTGATGGAAAGTATTTTAGATATCATTAACATTAATGATATATAATTAATAATTTAATATTTGGGCCTGAGATGTTTGCATCTGTTGCTCCCAGGAGAAGAAGGATTTTTCTATTTCCTGCCAGGAGCTCTGTATGTGATTCAAGGATAAGCAGTTCATCCCATGACATTTCCTTATGCTCAAACAGACAAGGTGACACATAAAGCCCAGGGGCAAAGGGAAACCTGATAGCTAAATAGCTGAGCTGCAGTCGGAAGTGGTGAATTCCCTAGACCACAGGGAAAGCTTCCTGTTCTTTGTAGATGAGCCTATTATTGGAATACACTTGCTTGCAGTTAATCTTCAAAGTAATTAAATGGAAAGGAAGCAATTAAATCACTGAGAAGGAATTGCATCTGGTTCAGAGGGAAAAACTCAGGCTTAGGAAGTATTTCAATGATAGTATGTACTCAGCGTAAACAGGTATCTTCCTGTTTGCAGACAATTAATATTTATGTGATAAGAATATCTTGTGGAAACCAAATGAGGTTGAAAACCAGAAGTTGTCATTACTGTGGACTAGAAGTACCAAGGAGAGAAATGTTGATATATGTTTTTCCTATTGAAACCTGGGCCCCTAACACTTACCTTGCATAGCTTAGCCTGGCACCTTGAAAGCTAGTGAAGGAATGGACATTTACTGCTGCTGAGAATCTAACTCAGCATTTCAGTAAGCACATCTCAGAGAAGGAAGACCATTACAATGACAATGATTCATACTGGTGTCCAAAGAGAAGATATTCAAGCTTAGAAAGAGCTTGTAATGATTCCTTAAAATCAGGTGTTGGGGCTATGTGAAGCAGGACAGTGCCTTTTAAGGATTGGCAGAGATCTTTAACTAAATTCAATTTTAAATGTGTTGAAAGAAGCACTTGTTTTATAATACTCCTAAATGTTTGTACACTGAATTTATTAAGTGTGGCAAGACAGTGAATATTGTTGTATTTTTAAGGTGCATGTTTTGCTCAGCCTGGAACAAGGGATCCCATATATTGCCCCAGTCTACTATAATAGCATAACTGCTGGAAAGCCACCAAGAGGGTATTGCAGTGAAATGCTCATCAAAGCTCTTACTGACACTGGAAAGTACAGTAGTTAAACAGGTTGTTAAACAATTAAGAGGTAGTTAAAAACAACTGTATTAACTAAAAATCTATAGTTGAGAAGAGAGATTCTGTTGCAAGGGCATAAGGAACCAATCTTCTAGTTTTCCTTGTCTTTCTTATGTCTTTTTTTTCCTTTGGAAAAATTTTGCCCTGCAGTTATATGGGATCTAACTGATTACACCATTGCTGTCATCTAAGAAGCTGGAAGTTGGGCTAGCATAAAAGCTGATGTCCTCATAATGAGTGAACAGCTATAGGTAAAGTAGAATAAGCTACCTGGGACATTAGCAGTGAACACTGGTAAGTGATGGTTGCTGGGAGCAAAAGGAGGTGATGCAGAAAAGAGAGCTGACATGGTTAAAACAGTAGACTCAAACTATATTTGTGGGAAAAAATTAGCAAGAAAGAAGTTGGTAGCAGGAACTAAAACTTGAGAGGATGAACATATGGATGGGACATGTAGGTGTTGGACAAAAAAGGCCATATGTGACAAGTGATCCAGTGGCAAAGGTGCAACCTTTTCCTCAGATAAAGATAAATATTAGCAGAAAAATTTGCCTGGATTTTTGACTTGAGACACAAACATTTATTCCTGGTGCAGGGAGATGGGAATAAGGGTCTGGGGAGAGAACAGAAATACTGACTCTTTCCCAGTAAATGTTACATAAAACACTCTTGGTTATTTAAAATAGTTCACTACCTAACAAGGAAAAGATATAATTCATGTTAAATATGAAGGACCAAACTTTACTTTTGAGTACACATAGGTGTGTTCCTATTGTGTTAGCACCGTTCCAAACAGGTCCTTGATGTACATAGGTCTAGAACCTTTATTTTTATCTTGTATTAATTTTTATATTGCTGTCTCTCCTCATCTCAGGGAATTGAATGCAAGATGTCAGCCAGCTAGACTACCATTTCCTTCATGATTAGCCCCTCTAGCTACATATGCAGTGCTATAATGCAGATAATTTAGTACTTGGATGCTTAGCTCCCCACACACTATTGTGTACCCATTTCAGACCTTAACAGAAAGGAATTTTAATATTCAGATTGCATAATATGCAATTTATTCAAATGAGACATATTAGTATATTATACAATGTAGTTTTGCGATTCTCAATATAAAATATTTACTTGCATTCTCAGAGACTTGTCTGGTAGCACAATTACAATTGAATTTTGTGTAATACTTCCAGAAAGGTCCAATTTTTGGTACTCATTTCAGAATAGTCATGGCTTGTCATATTTATGTTCAAAAGTACTGTGGGCTGTTTTATTTTTATTTCTATTCAGATGCTTCCAAAAAAGAGTATGTCTGCGGGAAGGCAGGTTCTTCAGCCCATGCTGGAAAGACTTCAGCAGCATTAGGCTTCCTGTATGTGATGCTAGGACTAGCTAAGGGGTAGCAAGGAACCTTTGTATCAAGAATCTACTTTCAGCTATCCTGCCAAGCTGGAAGGTTTTGGAATAAATTTCATCTACTCAGTAGAGACTATGAAGACTTTAATGAACAAGCCCCTATTCCTCCCCCATGCCATCTGCAGCAACATGCTAGAAATCCACTAAACTGCCAGAAAATTGTGCTCTCTGTGTAAATGCAGGTACTGCAGATGCCTACCATAGCTCAGTGAGATGCTGGGCGTAAGGAAGAAGGAAGAGTGTGGGGAGAGAGGAAACAGCAGGACTCAGCAGTTAGAGATGAACTGGGATAATGGAGGAGGAATGGGACTAGAAAAAAAGGAACATAATTTAAGAGTACATCTCCATATACATATGGGTATAAATACAAGAAAAACTGAATTAAAGTCGATCAGGCAGCCTTAATAGTGTAATTTCTCAATTTGGTGTCTCTGTCGAAGGGACACCCTGGTGTCCCATAGAAGCTTTATGACCTTTTAGGCTTAGTTCTGCTGCCCACCCTACATCACATTACTATTTGGAATGTCCTGTGTGCAGTAGGCTGACAGACATAGTACAGGGCCGGCAGAGTTGTACACTGCTAGAGACAGGAAGGATAGCCTGATGGGTTACTCAGGGTACTGTTGGAAATGATAAAACTTTTAAATTTTTCCTTTGTATCTTTTGTCGGGGTTTTGTTCGCCTTCGCCCAGGTGGAAGAGAATTGAAGTTCCTCCTCCTAAGACTGGGCAAGACCTGATGAGTTTAACATCTACACAGTTTGGGAGTAGCCAGGAGATACACGGGAGATAGGACCAGGAACGGGCATTATCTCTGAACACCACCCCCTGCAGCGGTCGGAGACACTTGGTCTGGGAAAAGACATAAAGAGAACCACAGAATAAGGACCAAATTAGCATTGAAGGCGAAGGTCTCAATAACCAATAGGAGGTTAAATACTAAGAATTGTGCAATTTAAGATCAATCAACAGGAATTTATTTGGGTTTTGTCCTGTGAAAAGTCTGATAAAGGATTATGTATGATGGAATGATTTTCACTGCACAGCCCGAGCATGCATAGATGTAATTATTTCTATTGTACATCCTGGCTAGAATAATCCCCATGCCAATATAAAGCAATGCCTCAATTCTCTAACACTACAAAAATTGTTAATGTTGGAGAGTTTCTGCTTTTGTCAGTTTCGGTGACAATACTAGGCACCTTTGTAAGGGTGCATGAATTGGTGTCAGTGAATTTTTTTGTGGGAGTACCTATTCATGGGATGCTAAGTGCCATTTGGATTACTCGTAATCAACTTCATGTCTGGCTCTGCTCTTCAGCTCAGCCTTTATCCACCCCCTGGCATGGCAGGCACCCATTACGGTTAATTCTTGCTGCTGCAGTGGATTCAAGGGAAGTGCTGTCAAGTAGACACAGATGAATGTTACCTTAACGTTATTCGAATCCATGGTAGAATTATCAGCTTAGACCCTGGCTGCTTAAGTTTCCTATCTTGTTCACAAATAAGCCTTTCATATCTCACTGAGAAACTGAACACCACAGTGTGACGGACTTGATGAATTTTTATTAAGAGCAAATTTAGTAATTAAAAATTTTTCTATGTATATTCTTGCAGGTAGAACCCCTATAAATACCATCTGAATTAGCAATGCCCTAAACTGTGTCAAACTTAGATCTTGATCATATTCTAGTTGCTTATTCATGCACGATGTTTTTGCCTTTTCAGCTCTTTTGGACTCCTGCATGACCTCAAGTGTATTCACTCCTACTGCAGCTCGACTGTTGCAAACAAACATCACTAAAATATTTTGAAGGAAGTATGCAGATGTTTTGCAAGGAGTGTGATGCACTGTTCACGGGGAAAACAACCTCAAGGTTTCTGGAACCCTAATGGTTTAGCTAAAATGCTTCTTCTGGGAGAGAATACAGGACTCATGGAAGATTGAAGTAAATTATTTCTCTGTTCCAGAATTGCTAATCTTGCGGCTGAAATTGCATATAAAAGTGGGTATGTCTCAGTGCTGTTAAACTTCACTTAGTTTGGAATGCTGGCAATAAAAGGACAATTTAATTTACATTTTTGGCTTTTTCTAGTTTACTATAACTGAAGAATGACTTCCCAACAGGCTGTAGAGAGCAGTTATCTCTGCAGGATGCTAGTCTGGCTACTGTGAACAGGGAACAGGAACACATAAACAGCCAATTGATTTGCTGTGGTTTTGATAACTGCAGCATTTGTCTTACTTTATGTCAGGAGACATGGTGGCCATCCCGCCACTGTGCTGCATGGGGATTGTAGGACTTTGGAAATGTTTAAGTTTGATTGTTTAGTCTCTCTAAAAGCAGATACCTTCTCCCCCCCCCCCCCTCCCCCAACCCCAAAATTTATTAAAACCTGTCTCAGAATAGTAGCAACAAATAAGTAATAGGTAAATCAATAAATACATCAGTGACACTGTAGAATCCTCACCTCTTATTTGCATCCTGTAATGAATGAAATCCTTGAAACCTGAAAGGATGGACAATTCATGATTCTAACTTGTTTTTTCCCCACAAGTGTCATGAAACGCTTTGAATAACATGGTGCAGCTGCCAGGCAAGTAGGCTAAAATCACAAGACTAGTGAGTACAAGAGTGAATGCATCAAGTAGAACTGGGCAAGTGTTTTATGCCCTCATAAATCAGAATGCTGGCTCAGCTCTTGTTTTGTGCTATAGGGGAGGTTAGGATGCATTGCAACAGATTACCTAATGAAGCTACAATAATTTAAATTAAAGTTTTCTCTATCTATCTATCTATCTATCTATCTATCTATCTATCTATCTATCTATAATATTTTATCTCCATGTACAAGATTTTAAAATCAACAAAAATGAGCTCTTCAGTATAAAAATTCAGCAGTGCTGATGCAGATAAATCTAGGCAAGAATAAAGAGAGTTGCTGGTAGTTAGATGCATGGTAACCCTACATGGAAAGAATAGCAAGGCACAGCAGGGATGCTTTCTGCTTGTTAGAGAAAAAAATTCATAGAGAGAGATATAACTGGGGGGGAAAAAAAATCATTTATATACATTCGTGGATTGACAAGTGTGCTGACCATATATAGGGAGAATTATCCTCCCTTCTCAGAATGTCTGGAAAAATGAGTGGCCCCCTCCAGGAGTCCTTTAAGTCCAGGACTGGTGCAGTCACACTGCACATAGGCATGCACAGTGATGACATAACCTGCCAGCTGGACTTCCACAAAGGAGCCCATGTCATCTTTTGCTTCTCAAAACACTCCAGAGGCTTCCAAGGACTTTGGGAAACTGGATATAGCCAAGAGCAGCTGTTGTAACAGGTGTGCTATCAGTGATCCCTCAGGGTTAGATCCACAAGAGATTAAAACTGCCATGAAGTCCAATTTTTAGGTCCCAGCTTGTGGATCCATGATCTTCATATCCTTTTATTTTTCAGCCTTCACTTATCTTTGGATGTGCGCAAAGCCCATCAGAATTAGGAAGGCAGAGGAAGCTGCCAACACACGTCCTGAACTAGGGTTTCCTTCTCCCTGGTGAAGGCTGCCAGCAGCCAGACATAGCTCCTGCCTGTCCTTGACCAGAAATTCCTTGTGCAGAAATTTCACCTCACTTTACTGATGGAAACAACCCCAAGGTGGCAGATGCCCAGGGCATCTTCTCCTCTCCAGTGGCCTGGAGCAAGTTTGACAGCCTTTATCCACCACGTGGCAGAACTTGGTGGCTGTCACCAAGGTGAGAGGGGGCTCTCACCAAGGTGAGGTGAGAGGCTGTCACCAGGTGAGAGGGGGTCAATCCCAGTGCAAGCAGTCACAAAGTGCCATGGTAGATGATGGACCTACTGACAGAGGCAGGCACAAGGCACACCTCCCATCTAGGGGAGCACACAGTGGAAGTATGATGCACTAGCTGTGAAATATGTCTTTTGGTGATTCATCCTATAAATTAAAGGTTATCTTAATTCTTTTCAGTATAAAATGTACTTTAAAGAGTTATTTTCCTGGTATGAATCACCAAGCTAGTCCTCCCTCTAGGTTAGCAACAGAGACCAAACTGCAAGTGGTCAGGAAACATAATATAATTTAATTTCTTCTATCATTTTGAATCAGGAAATTTATTCTGTTTAAGATAATATTTTCAAGGGAACTAAGCCACCAAGAGTTGAATTCAGGCTCTCCTAATTGCAGACTTTATCCAGCACAGATATATCATTTGTCAAGTCTGGGTGTTTCTCCAGCCTGTACTGGGGTGTGGTAGGGGCATGACTGGCTGAGAAAGGAGCTACTAGCTAAAGGAACTGTGGGCTTAGCCAACTCTCAGAGACATTTTAGAGGGGGTGTGAGAAGCAGGAAACTTTGGAAGTCTCACTTTCACAGGAAGATATCAGATGGGCAATCTGTGGAAAATGTGTCAGGGCGTCCATAGAAGTCTGTGGCATACAGCTGGGACACTTGGTGGAGCAGGTAGAGAGAAGCAGAGAGATGGGTGAATGGGTCAGATCTTCCCCTAGGCTGCCTTATTTTAGTCAAAACTCTGACAGAACTGCATATTCCTGAAGAAAACTGAATTTGCAGCTTTTTTCAGGGGAAATATTTCTGCTAGTTTTCTTTAATTTCTTGATTTTTAACTCTGAGAATCTTAGACCTTTAAGTGCAATGAATGCAAGCTTTATTTAGAGGTATCTCAAGCCTATTCAAAGCTCTCCAGTGTGCTAACTCTGAATGCTCAGATTAGGTTTGAGCTTTGGAGGATGGAGACAGACTTCTTGATTTGAATTTGAAAGCAAAGGATGAAAAGGATAGTGAGAGGAAGCTGGTATGCTTACCACAAGGAAGAACCATCCTCACACCGACTGAATGTGAATGGCCTGGCTATGAACTGGAACTGTTTTTAACAAGGTCTTCTGAAGTCTGCCTAACTAGCTGCACAGTTCAACCCCCGAAGGAGGATCTGCCTCTATCTGCCCACTATATCAGCCTTGCTTTACAGCTTTCTAAGTCAAATAAATGTGTCGTCTTTATTGCTTTCTACTGAACTTCTGCACACAAAAATATTCTAAATAACTTTTTCAAATTCAAAAACATCCGTATTAGTCACTATTTTCAGGACACTGAAATCAATATTTTCAGGACAAATGTATACTCTTCAGAATACTGTTTAAAGTCAATCTCACCTAAAGATGTGAAAATAGTTCTTTCTATAAAAATGTGTCTAGATGGGCAAATGCTGTCTTCCATTTTATGACTTTAGATTTGAAGAGGTCTTATTACATTTCTAATTAAATGACTGTCATTAGAGAAGGAAAAAAAATCTGAAATCCTCTGAAAAATGAAAAGAAGAAACAAAGGAACTGTGCATGTTGAATTTTATGCGAGTAGAAAAAGATTTTCTGCATAAACAATTTTTCCTGAATTATTTATCTTTTTAAGTAATTTACAATTATTTTTACGGTTAATTTTAATGACGTATATTTGTTAGGCCAGATATCAGCATGCAAACCACAATACTTGAAATGCCTAATTTTGTTGCTCTCCAAAGCATGATAAGCTTCTGTGGCATAGTGACTGTGGAGACATGTTGAGATGCTCATACAAGCACATACCATAACACGTGGTTATACTGGGTATAGGAGAAGTAGATGAAGAGTTGATTGAGCCTCAGAGAAAAATTTACATTTCCTGGTCTGTTTAAATGTGTGAGATTATGAGAATTTTCTCAATCTGTCCTTCCACTCTGAAAAGATATTCACAGAACTGACCAGCAGTTGCTTCATTGTTGTTAAACGTCTACCAAAATAGTAAGGATACCATATGACAACAACTCTGTGTGATTTTTTGCTTTGTTTGATTTCTTCTTTCATGTTTAAAGCTGTTTCATGCAAAAAGCAAATAACAAAACTTTTTGTGTTCTGTACATAGAAAATGTATATTCCTTTTACAATACTGTTAGTTTACTGAGATATATTCAAAATTTAAAGAGTGATAAGCAATGTTTTTCACTGCTGTTTCATTTTTATAACCTGATCCATCCTCCATGAGCAGCATGAAAACTGTACTAGATCCAGCCAAGAACTTTCATACATATATTTAATATAAAAGCATAATTTTCTTGCTGTAAGTGATCTTCAGGTCAAATAGATAAATAGATATTTTGGAACAGTGAAAAGAGAAAAAGATTATTTTCTACCTTTTTTCTTTACCCAGCTATGGTAAGTCCAAAGGATGGTCTAAATCTCCTCATTTTGATGCGTGTTTTAGTATTTTAACTAGTAGAATAGAACTAGATAATTCTTTTAGGAAAACTTTATATGGTTAGTATTTCTCCTAGCTATCTCTTGAATGTAAAGTATGGCCTCTACCTCTTCAGTTTTGTTGTATTATGGATTTCTACACCTGCTCCTTGTGAAATACAAGCACATTTTCTTGGTTTCAGAGAACACTGGAAATTATATAGAACCATCTGATAGCCTAATAATTCTTTTATAAATAATCAGGTTAGGCTTGACTTTACATATTTCATTAGTATCCCTTCAAAGAACAGGAGAGATTTCTTGGAAAGACTCTAGCAATTTCATCATTGGAGATCTCTTAGAACTTGCTAGACAAACATCTATTTCAAGCATCATAAAACAAATTAATCTTACTTTTGGACAGAGTGATAAATTAGATAGTCCCTAGCACCACTTTCTGTCCCATGATTAGATCATGTTTCCTGAAAAAGAGCATATAATATGATTTCTGGTTCTGAATCAGGCTGGAGATTGACCCTGTTGACCAGATGGTCACTTCTCAGCAGATTTGCCGGGTGTGTGGAAAACGAAAAAAACCAAGGGTGGGTTTATAAGTGGACATTGGATAAAACTCTATGCAAAAGATAAAGAACAGCAGGAGAGTGTAAGACATTCCAGCATCTGAGAATCCAAGAATTAACTCTTTAGCCCAGCAGGTAGCCTGAGATAGCTCACAGAGATTAAAAAATAGTGACAGGAAAAGTTTTAGCTGCTGTTCTGGGGTGGAATGAAAGAAATTTTAAGTGTGCAGAAACATAATTTTGGCCA